ACAGACAAGTAAAAAGCTGCGAGCAAGTTTGGATGTACATGAATATCCAAGCAAAAGTTACGCAAGCGAAGAAGCTGTGAGCAAGTTTGGGTGTACATAAATACCCAAGCAGAAGTTACATAGACAAGCAAAAAAGCTACGAGCAAGTTTGGATGTACATAAATATCCAAGCAAAAGTTACGCAAGCGAAGAAGCTGTGAGCAAGTTTGGGTGTACATAAATACTCAAGCAGAAGTTGCACAGCAAGCAAAAAATTGCAAGCAAGTTTGGGTGTACATAAATACCCAAGCAAAAGATACACAGGCAAACGAAAGCTATAAGTAAGTTTGGGTGTACATAAACACCCAAGCAAAAGGCGACGAGCAAGCTTTAGATGTACATAAATACCCTGACAAAAGCTATGCAAGATGTGCTAGAGAAGTTAATGCAAATTTCAAACCAAAACTCAAGTTAGAAACGGAGCTTTTGAAAGCAAAATCTTTGAAGCTAGCTCATTCAATTGCTGATAAGCAGAATTGGACGATTCAAGACAAAAGCAGCAAAAGGGATAAGTTCTTTCTTCTTTTTTAACACATCATAGCATTCTTAAACTAACAACACAGGTTTATCATACCTTTGCTCTTCCCTCGTATCTAAATAAGATCAACCTTAGCATGCAAGCAGCAGAAATCCAAAGTACCAATGAGTTGCAGAAAACAGACAGACAATGGGAACCAGCATCATAAACCTGAGCAAATTTAAAGAACAGAATTAAAGCAGTACAACCCAAATGTTTTTTCAAAAATAAATGTTCTTATATGCAGGTTCAACAAGAGGTCTGAAAAGCTGAGCATTTAGAGAATAAGGGGTACCTTGAGAACCTCCGCATTCACAAAACTACTCCAACTGTGAATAGCTATAACAGAATCCTCTACATCCTCAAAAGCTGCCCAATCCTTACTCTCTATCAACAAAGATCTTGGTTCCACACCATCTTTTCTATTTTTTACTGTTAACACATATAAATATATTTTTTATTTTAATGATAAATGAGATTG